GCTAACGAAATTCTCATGCTTTCCGAAAATGGAATGGGCTTTAAAAAAAAAAATGCAAGTTGTCCGTTCTTACTAATATTTTCAGCCGTTCCTGCCTATAATCACCGGGCACGTGACCTAATAGGGATTTTGAAGGGTTGACATTAAAAAAAAGCAGGAGTTCGTGGTGATTTCTTTGGTGGAACAAAAAGTATTTCGATTTCTGCGGTCGATGGCTTTGAGGTTAGGCACCTATCAGATCATTCTGTGTTTCTATGACGCACGTTTAAGGCAACAATGCTAATGTACAATGTTATGGCACAGAAAGAATATGTAACATTATGTCATAGGAGTTTCTTGCACTATACGTCCGGATTATGTTTCTATGATGAATGCTACGCAATACTGGTCCTGTGGTGTCGATGAGCTTTGCGAATTGAGACATTCATTTTGCAATTAACTTCTGATAGAGATCATATTGCGCGATCTCGGATGCCCAACGGTCCTGGATTTAAGCAGCCCCAAACAAAAAAGTATCAGAATGGGCAGCAACTCATGAGAGAAACATTCAATTCCATTCACCATATGAACTGCTTACATTGGAAAGATTAAAATTTACGTAAATATCTCAGCCAAACAGGAAAATTTTCCAAATACTAAATATTAAATTCTTTGTGCCTATTACGTACAACCCCAAGTATGACAACCAGTATGACATCTATGGGTGTATTGATGTGAGATTAATTTCCGAACTCCGTTCAACCCGTTTGACCCTGATTATCAACACCAATGAAAAGTGACACGCGGAACGTTTTGCCGAACTGGATTCCGGGATTTGACCTCGGAACAGCGTGCACGAGAAGAGCGCCCGGGGTGAGAATCTGTGTGAATAACGGTTTCCTAATTAAACTCATGTAGAAAACAAGCAAACAAGCAAACAGGCAATAATCGTATCATATGGGAATTATGCTTAATAAAGATTCTTTCTTAATTGAAAAAGGGGCGATGGTAAATAAACCATCATTACATTTAAGCTCTCGTCGTGGTATGGTAAAGTTTGGTGATAATGTGACCCTGTTTAAGATGTTATATCCGGTTATCGTACTCACCATCCAGTTCTAATGATCAAAGTTTTGTTCCCTAAACATCGCCCAACACCTCGCCCAATTATAATGATATGTTTGAGAGCAGTTTTTTCATAAGATAGAGTTTATTTGTTTGCGTATTATATGGTAGCTTGGAAAAGTTCCCATTGTTCGAAATGTTTACACATGCAGGATCTTTATTGGTCATGCAGAAATAAGGGAGTGACTAACACAAACATAAATGTGAGATGGACACAATGATAACGAATGGGATGCCTGAAAGTGTAGCGTCTGATGCAGACAAATTGTTTCCTAGACGTGACCTGGCCGAACTTACATAAACAACCAAACGTAGAATATTAACTTCTTCTTGAGATAACATGCGTGCACCGTGAGACAAGGTCTGAGGAAACAGCGCATCTTGAAAGAATATCGTTTAAGGTATCATTATCATTAATTTTCATGCTCTGTTTTTAATTTTTTTCCTTAATTTTTTTCATTTGTTTATTTTTCTGAAGATTCGGGCAGGAAGCGTAGGCTAACGAGCAGATGAGAGAAAATTATGGTTATTTACACGAATTCATCGATTGTTTCTTTTTTGGCATATTGATCTTGCGCTAAACGGTTTGTTTACAAACAGCTGTAGGGTATATACGAGAGAAGTGAGTATGGCAATTTAAGCCATACGCATTTAAAAGAAAAAGAAACAAACCATTTCGGAACAGAATCTCGTGAAAATATGAAATCAGGCATAATTGCAATTGATTTTTTCGGTGGTCTTTGCACTTAATTGTGCATAGACAAAGTGTTAGGTTCTGAAACTGAATTAGCGGAACTTTTTTTGGCGAACCAACAATGTATGCTAGCATTAACCCATCAGCTGACATGTGAATACATCGCAACAAACGTACTCAACTTTTTGCGCATCGCAAATGACCAGGATTCTTGGTTTTCATGGTTCGGCACACACACTTTTCGTTGTGTGTGATTGATCCTCTACTCGGGGTTTGTGAGAAGTGCACGTACGTCCCTTGATTGGACATTGAAACGAGGGCGAAACTTCTGAATGAGTCCAGTTTGAGACATACAAATTCTCCTGCCTCCCTGTGACATCATAAGTTGTGTATTCACTCGTTCATCACCAAACAATGGGTTTCCAAATGTGAAACGCCTGTGATAATTACAAAGGAAACTTCTGACGGTATCTAGAATGGTCTATGACGAAACGTCTATGCCTTAATGTTTGTGAGTTCTCAAAATGTAGTTCACGCATAAAAAAGAAAATTTGTGTTGTGCTTTCTATTTTATTTTTATTTTTATTTGCTCTACGAAAAGCGTGTACGACAAGGTGGAGATACAGTAAATGATCCTGTTTCATAAAATTGGTTATTTTTAAATTCCTTCATTTCCAAAATAATGCCTATTAAGTTTTCTCGATTGGAGGTGTGATGGAAGTGTGATCGAGTGAGATTTACGACGAACGGACCGGGTGCGGAGTTTGTGTGTGCGAATCTGCTATTTTATTATTTTTTTTTTTTGAGATGGTGTGGAGGAAAATAATGATTACGCGTATATTTACTTACATGTGTTTATTGATGATTTAATCGGCGTTACAATTTGAAATTCTGTACTCCAGGAATGAATTATTGGAGATTGTCTCTATACTTATTGGTCCAACAGCATTAAGATAAGTTCAAGTTGTGCAATCTTTATTTTTTCCCTTACCACAAAGATCTTGTCATTGTTATTGGGAAAGCTAATTAGCACGAAGTTCACAGAAAAAAAAAAGGGGTCAATTAAAAAAAAAAAAAAGAAAAGAAAACGAACGAATATCCAGTGTGATCACTGCGGTATTGCAATATCTCCAAGGGTCACACGCACGATGGTAAGGTTTCCTGATTTAGGCTTATTCGAATACCAGCGATTAAGATGAATATTCCGAACCCCCTTGTAACGCAATCACCAATGATGCTATCATGTCGTGTAACTCACCAAGCGATATTAAAATCATATTTAACCATATCACTTATCTCTATCGCTATCACAAAATAGTACCTTTTTCGCCTCTGTGGGAGCACGACATGGGTAATGTGGATGGAAGCTGCAGTAAATAGATGAATGTTTGTTGAGAAACGCGGTAAATCTCGGAAAAAATTGACTTTGTATTGGTGTTAAGGTTTAATCATCTGCAGAATTGGAAACAAAAAAGAGGAATCACAACGGTGCGCATACATTTGGGAAGTTGTGAAGAAAAAGAGATATTGATTTAGATTTGGTTGATTTATTAAATCACGCTATTCATGATGGAATGAATGAAACCGAATTGAGATTTGATTAAAAAAAAAAAGCGAGAAAAAAATTTTTTTTTTTTTTGGTTAGTCGGCAAATACGGAAAACGGCTGTATTTTGAGTTTAATAGACTGCAAACTTCTGATGCCATTACTAATGTATACAGATTGTATCACCACAACATATTAAAAATTTGGTGTACTACGTTTAACTTATTTTTGTTTTTATCCAACAAAGAAATCTCTTTCGTGTAATCGGAGTTTATTGATACAAAGACGCAGGTTTGTAGATCTTCCCAAGGGAATCACACAAGTGAATCACATTGCGACTATTAGAAAAAAAAAAAAAAAAAAAAAAAAAAAAAATGCAAAGAATTTGAATGTCCCATGGGAGTTGTGGATTATACCGAGTGTTCAAGTATTATGTCCTTCGGGTAACAAAAAAACCCCGAGTAAATTTCACACAGCGAAAGTGAAATTATTGCTGCACCCAAGGAATCATTATCACACACATCAACACATCCCTGAGTAACGATCGTATGGTTAAACCAATAAGGTGACACACCTAACTTGTCAGAAATTGTTAGCAAACAAGAGAACCATAAAACCAACTCGACGCTCGATCATAACATTGTCGAAAGAATCGAGACGGAATAAAAGAACAATCACCCTTCTTCAAAGTAGGTTTTATTGTGCATGTGACATTGACGAAGTACATAATGCACAATTTACTAAAAATGACAACAAGGAAACGGTTTGTGGAAATGGGCGAGATGAAACAGCGAATAATATTTGTCCCCAAGAACTTTATTATTGTTTTTTTTTTCTAAATGTGCTTCCCTTGTTTGCCAAAGGCCGGAAATGCCAAAGTTTAATCGTTTTTTGTTTATTGTTGTTGCTATTATGCTTTAAAGGTATCAAAACCTTAACTTGAAATATTCACTTCACTTCGTGGTAAGATGAATGCCATATGGCAATTGTGATGCATTATGCTTACAACAATTTTTCGAAATAATAGGTCACGTATAATGCGAACATATGGAAATATAACATGCATCGTAAAACGCACGCATGTGACACGTAAAAAAAAACAATGAGAACAATGATGTAAATCATTATGTTATTATGTTTATTAATGTTTCATGCAATTTGTGTTAACAAAAAAAAAAAAATTTTTTTTTTTTTTTTTACATAAGCCTTTTGTGTTCGGCGATCGGCGATCCGGAGTGTTTCACTCTAACCGTACCGTCGTCACATTTCCGTGGTCGGATGATATCACCAAATCTTCTTTCCTTCTAAATTCTTTATTTGGACTCTCTATTTCTTTTCAAATTCTCAGTAACGTAGAGCATCCCTGTATGAGAACATCTATGAGATGAGGTGTGTTACATCCTTCTTCCTTAATAATACTCGATCGGTCCCCGGTAGAATGTCAATCGACTCGATCCTTGTGCCACCAGTCCGCACCATCTGTTTCTATTCGGCTCATTGTAAAATCCATTCGACAACACTCAAGCAGATCAATCACGAAAATACAGGTTTGAATTAAATGAACGCACCTATCTTCTATAAAGAGGGTTATACATGTCGACAACCAATATTATATTGGAAATTAGGTTCTCCTTAAAATATTTGATCATTGAATATCCTAATATATTTGTTTTAGTTTCATCCAACAAGGCTTGGCGTCGCGATCTTTCCTTTTACTCGACCCTTCAAGCATAAAGCCAAACCCACCTATCGAGTTCGAAGGTCTGTGAAACATCACAGTACCTCGATGCGGAATTCCTCGTTCAATGTTCCTCACTTGCTCTCCTCGGTCAACCAAAATCTCATTCGTTGGATTACAGTAACCTTTGTTGTTAGTTTTCACACCTTCCAATACCAGAGCTGTGTCACATGGATTGGATCTTTGGGAGACACCCTGAAAGCAAAGTTAACATTGAAACAAAGGAATGAAAGACCGATGGGAAATCATCAAAGGGGTCACACGCAAATTTGCTTTCATGTTTGCTTGTTTATTAATTCGGTCATGTCGCATTGTGTGCGTTTGTCTTAAATGCGCACGCGTGTCTGTTTACTTTCTAATCGCATTCCGTCCTTTGCATGCAATTCTCCTGCGAAAGCAATTGGCGTAAACATTGTATCGGGACAAATCTTCTGACGTGATTTCTCGAGTCCATTTTTCTTGTTCAGAATGTCGCTTCGTCATAGTGTCTTCCCCGAACCACCATCTTTTATGTGGCATTAGTATCTATCCTCAATGGAAAATCTATTATTGTGACTATTTACGGAAGTTTCATAATAATGGTAAAAATTTCCGACATCTCTGGTTACCTAATTACGCAATTACTGTGTTGTTATTATTTGTAAAACGTAAACATAATGGTCATACCAAACAACCAAAGGCACATTTCCACCCTGCCTTTCGATGAATAAACATCAAGGCATACACATTGAAAAGAATAGCATGATCAAAACATTTAAGCGCAACACGAGTGGACCATCAAATGTTCGTTCTGAGGGATCACATCTCGGATTGAATCTGTAGATCAAACATTTCTTTCTTTTTTTTTTTTTTGGCAACTCCATGAGAGAATGGGACCATTAAGGGATATCATTTATTCTACTTTTTTCATCATAAAGCGTTCACAGAAGAATGAGATATGTAATGCGCATACTTACGAGGCGAAAATCGCAGGTCCGCATGTCCGCGTTCCCTAGATGTTTCGCTGCAGAGATCCCTAGTTGAAATGTTTTGATGTACGATGACCTCCGCTAGCCGATCCGCTAACGAAAAATGCGCATTTGGAATGCCGTGAGAGATGCTCCGATAACGTGTTTTAAAGTGTGTGAGACGTTCGTCTTCTGTTTGTAGGTAAACAGAATGTAAGCACATGCGCAATAGGTAGCTGCGAGTAGGTGACAACTTATAGAAGGTATATAGACGGTTACTTAATCCGTCATCATTCTGATGATCATATATAGTCTTATTCATGCCGGATTCGATGTGGTTACCTCATGAGATTTCTCAACTTAAAATTCTTAAAATTAGAGAAAAAATTGAATGATCCATGGGATTTTCGGGATCACGGACCAATCAGAGTATATCACGTATCTCACATATCCATCTAAGTCAGTCATGTCACAATGGAGAAGAGAGATGTGAGATTTAGAGACCACGTCCGTGTATACGCGGGACCCACGAAATCTTGCCCGCCCGACGACAAAAAGAAAAAAGTTCATGTTGAACATCTACGCTTTGGGTTATTGAAAAAGGTCGATTCTTTTTGACTTCATAAAAAAGACATCCGATATATGCGAATGATTGTGCGATTGCATGACCGCTTAATCCTTTTCTTTCTTACCCTGGACGACGCAAATGGGGCATCTCGATGACAAGAACACCTCGCTTATCTTAAAATAGAGGACGGGTGCGTTTTAATAGTTGATCGTTCATTAAGATTTAGAATTACACCACGAATGCCTTTGCATTCTTTATCACGAAAGGCATTCCATTTTTCTCGGAGATGCGTGATGATGATGTGATACACTTGGCTTTTAAGTCGCCGATCTAAGCACGGTATAAACTTGAATGTCAATTTTTTTTCCCGTCCCTACCCGATCTCGGCTGCCACGTCCAAGAAATAAGTATCGTACAGCGCTGCACGAAAATCTACTAGAAGAATATGCACTTAAAAAAATGTTATTTGAGGTGGGTAATGAATGCAGCACTTTACGGTAAGAATAATATTATTAAGATAATAATAATAATAATAATAATAATAATATTATTATTATTAAACGAACTAGCTTAGTGGATTTCTCATATTTTTTAAGTAATGTAGCCCTTTAACTAATAATGTACAAAGACGAGTTGGTCGTCATGTGAAAGTCAATGTCACATTGAAAATGTTTTATTAATAACTCAATAAAGACACGCCGTGGCAGCATGAATGATTGCGGGTTAGAAAAAATCATCATCATTATTATTATTATTATTATTATTGTTATCATTTTTCATTATCATTATCATTATCATTATCATTATCATTATCATTATTATTATTATTATTATTATTATTATTATTATTATTATTATTATTATCATTATTCATTTCACATTCTTTCTACATACTTTATTTTAATTTATTTTAATTTGCATAGTTTCAATGGATTCAACAATTTATTCATGACAAGAAATGACAACCACGTAGGTACGACTTCCAACCTTTGCGAAGGCAGAGTTCATTCTGAAGGGGTGTTGTAACAACGGAGAGAAGTTCATTCTCGGCCTATGCCTAGAGAGCCCGTGTTATTTGTTTGTTAATTTAAGATTATTTTTTTTTATTTGTTTTTTCTATTTGTTTGTGGATTTTCTTTATTTTTATTTTATTTTTTTTGTGTAATGAAAGTTTGTTTTTGGGGGTGTCGGGTACTTGGAAAGAGGAGGAAACAACTCGGTAATCGGTAAGTTCCCGGGTCCATTGTTGACCTTTCGCCAATGACGTTGAGATACACAAACATCTGTTGTTTCAAAGCCTTTGCTAAAAATAAATGTTTTTAGATGGCATTCGCGTGAAAATAAAACACTGATGATCTTTTGTTTACCTTGTTTTCACCTGCTGACCCGTTAACGGCTAGACGGTTTGTGACGCGCAATACGTGTACCAAATAATCCATGCCGCTTTCCTCATCTCTCTCCTCTACCCGAAAACCTTCTTTTCTTCCACACATCGGTCATTCTGGTTTTTCTTACTTGACGAAAACGACGCATAACAGTGGTACCACTGTCGCAATGCAACAATAAGATGTTATCGCAACAACAATTTACCCTGTATGACATTCACCCGATCAGAATGATAAACGGTAAACGCAAATGAAATCGACCAATCACATTCTTCCAGTAACAAAAAAAAAAAAATGAGTGCAACTGAACAATGTTTCAATTTTAACTTTTGTTTTAGCCCGAATGCTTATTTGTTTGCATTGGCTAAGGTTACTAACAAAAAATTTGGGGTGATATTGACGAGTTAACATTCTTTTTTAAGGTTTCATTGTTTGATCCTGACAATGCGCGTTAAACGTTATTATTAATTCCAGAGAATGAATAGGCATAATTTTTTTTTTTTTCTGAATTTCGGTTGCGCGAGGGAAATAACAAAGGAAATTTGCCAACTTCAGCATGAAGGATGATGCCATGCTTCAATGTTTCCTCGACTCAGTGTTCTTCATCACCTTTTTTTTCTTCCTTCTTCAAAATGGACATGCGTTTACCTCATGAAAAAAAAATAAAAATAAAAATAATAATGATGATGATAATGATAAATGTATTTCCAAAATAAATTAATCCTACTATTTGGATTTACCAATTAGGGAATTGATTCGAGTAAGAAGACACGCCTTTCTTCCATGTTTTTGTTTGTATGCGTGCTCTTTCCTTAGGCGGACTCGTCCTTTTGAACAAAGTAAGTCTCGCCTAATCATTAAAGCCTCATTCCTGTGCGGATACCCCGTGCACACAATGGATATGTATAATGATCTTACACATCATATGGCTAATTTCATAAGCATCAAAGATCGATATACCTGGCATAGGAATCGACAAGGGTAGGTTTAATAAAATTGCACTATAATTAATTCAGCATTGTTGGCACAGAGAAGATCTCCGCATTCGTTGTTTTTTTTTTTGTTCGCCTCGACATTCCAGACCATTCAGCCTTTGCATTGGTCAATCATCAAAATAAACATGCTCGAAGACATGGAGTAAACACATTTAGAGCGACACAGTAAATTGACTTCGTCGAACCGATTGACCAATGAACTTTAAAAACCACGTTTACGTACGCAATAGCCATGAACTCAACTTTGATTTAAATTTAATTTGCTTTAATCATTCGAATAATAGCAATAAGCATTAGCTGAACCCACCCTCTGTCAACTAACGTATGTAGCGTGGCACGTGATAAAATCCGTGTGACGGTTACACGATGTTGTTGAGGAGTGTTCGTCGTCGTCGTGACAACTGCAATAGCGGCGAATATTATTTGTGGGAAACATGGCGTCAAATTTCAATTGAGAATTTCAAATTCCTTTAGAATGGTGATGAATCGGTCCTTGCATAATAATTAAAAATGCGTTTTTCGCATTCCAACATGTCATACGTCGGATTTTTTCAAACTTAACATATCGGGCGAACAGAACAATGATGGTTTCGCCGAAAGATTTCAACATAATACGAGCAGCTTCAATGTCCATTGAAATTTCAAGTTCAAAAGTTTCACAATCTTCAATGCGCGGAAATGACGGAAAAACTCACGTCCTCGCATCGGGTACTCGACCGATGACTATGAGAAAAAAAAAGAAACAACTTCTCCTTTCATCCCGATTCATGCGTGTTCCATGGATAACAAGGATATCACCTTTTCTAACCTCACGCAACTCAGGACATTTTGAAATCCGTATTATTTCGCGCGATTTAATAAGCAAGTGGTTGAGCATTAGTCAACATCAATGTTGACAGCCCGATGCATTTTTTAACCGCATATAGGATGACAATAACCATTTATCTCTGATATCGGCCAAGACCCAGTAGAAGTCGAGCAGAAAATGTCAAATTATCTCAGAATTCGCCACACCCCAAATCAACAAATGGTCATAAAAGGGATGGCCGTGTTCTACGGTACCATTCTTCCAGCTTTAATATTTCTAAATTGGGAATAATATATTGTCTTCGCCTTGTTCTGAAAAAAATTTTTTTTTTTTCCTTTGAATTTAATCCGACCTTACCTCATCAAAAGAGGCGCACAATTTTAAGTTTCCTTCGAACAGATGATTCATTGTTACGATAATCAATTGAAACTCGGGAAAAATTCGAAACTTGGGGAAACAGTTGAAACTCAGATATCACATTTTCGACACACCCGTCTTCAACAAACCGTTTTCCAATTGAATCAGATTTTTGAAAAATTTTTTTTTTTTTTTTTTTTTTTTTCACGAAATCTCAATTGCACAACGCAGAAAACAAAGATACCTGACAGAGGCTGAAAAAAAAAAATTGTAATCGCATCATTAGATAAACAAAACAGAAGAGTAGTTGCTGTCGTACGAGACATCGCGGCGCGTTGCAAGAAAAGAAAAGAGAGGCAACAGTTGTGCGTGTAAGACTGTGACTCTGACAGCCATCATTTCAAAAGACACCAGCGTATTGTTGACGTTCGCTTCGGGCCTATTAAATTCGGAGCGTTGGCGTTACTCTTTTTTTTCGATTCACACAAAATCTCAATTATTGATTCATCTGTAATTTTACGAAAATTTCTCACACCGCTCAAAAGGTTGGGCAAACAATCGGAACCCGGTACAGGCATCCCAATTGTTCATTTGTAATCAATTACACATGTCGGCGGACGTCAAGCTTTGGAAAGAGGAAATTTTTATTATTATTATTTTTTTTCTTTGGAAGAAACCAACTATTCCCGGGATATACAAAAACTTGTCAGTACAATGATTGCAAACCTATTATGGATGGTGCGCAGATTTAACAATTAAGGCTTAAATCACGACGAATCGGTGGCACAGCAAAGGTCTACCGAGTCTTGTGATCTGTGATCTTGAAAGGAAGTTCGGACAGTTGACATAAATGGATATCGCTCTCATGGATCATCCTTCCATCGTCATTTCTCGAAGGAGGTTTCGAAAAATTAGATTGGGATTTCTCCGGGGTGAGATATGGAGAATGACGAATGCGAGAGAGCCATGTTCCAACAGGGATCGTTGGTCGATCCACTGTATTACGCATTAGCCAGAAAGTATGTGCGTAAACTTTATGGATTGTTTTACTCGATTGGTCAAAATAATGATCCAAATTTCACATTGTCTCGACAAAGAGCGATTTCCCAAATTATGCGACCAAGATGAATCGCCTAATTGACTTTCTTCAATTAGACCCACCCCATTTGACACCTGTCAGCGCGACGCCAAATCCCTGCATTTACATAC